TATCGAAGATTTTATTAAAGAAGGACTTTGTTACTCAGCTGGATTTGATGTCTGTCCGGAAAGTTGCAAAAAATGGAACCAGGCAAAGATACATTACAATCTTTATTCGTTTGAATTCTATCAATGGTTTTGGGACAAAAGGTGCATGGAAGAGCAAGAAAAGCATTACAGAAACGTCAAAGAGCTAGTTCGCTACTATGTTTTTTCAAAGATGGAAGTTTTTGGACTTTCTTCTCTAGATCAACTATGTACCATATTATGAAAATATTTATTTATTTTCCATTTTATGGCAACAAATTTTGCGTTTCTTCTTCTTAGTCGCTGTTGAGATCTCTTAAGTTTGTTATAAATTTATCATAGATGAAATGTGCAGTAGCTGAGTATTTTGCAATGATTCAGCACAACGAAATTATAGAAACTGTAGCGGGGTTCATTTTAACGTGCAGTGGTAGCCAATTTGGGCATTGATAAATCGTAAATGTACATTGATACACAATCGTAAATTTTTTGCAGTGAAAAACCAAAAACAAAAGACATTTAGTAGTATTTAGTTATTAAAAGGTAAAATTGCAGCAACTACCAGTAAAGAACACATAAAGATTATAATAGGGCATCACAATAATAAAAAGGAGAACATAACAGTAACAATGATCTATGAAATCTCTGTAAAATTTTATCGAATTCAGTATCTAGAAGCTATCTAGTTTTTTTTCCATCTTCTTCTTTGTGATGTTTGTTCTCGAAAACTGTTTTAAATCTAGAACACTTTCCCTCGTTGAAATCTCTTGTGAAGCTAGAATGAAAGGTGGTGTAGTTCGAGAAATTTACATACAGTTAGTTCGATAGGTGCGGTCATAAACAATTTTCAAAGGCAACACCAAAATTTTCAAAAATTTTGAAAATGTGCAGTGTTAAAAATTCCTTAAAATTCCTTAAAATTCCTATCCAAATAGATATATAATGTAATGTTATTTTGTCGGAAAAGCAGGTAGATTTTAACTCAACTTGGAAGCAAAATTATAAAGTACATTATTATAGAAAACCAAATATTTGAGGGTATGTCAACCATTGTGAATTCTTGGTTATATAGAATCACAAGAAACCAAACTCAACTATATAGAATCTTAAAAAACAAAATTGTGTTTGTGGAGTGAAATTTACTAGCGCTGTAATATATATTGTTTATCAAACTTTAATATCGTCTGACTTTTCGAAGTATGTCAATTAGACGGACAAAACTGATGACGATAAAGAAATGTAAAAATAGCAATTGCACAACAATAATAATAATAATAATAATAATAATAATAATAATAATAATAATGATATCTTTATTTACAGTTGGTTTGAGCGATAGTTAATATACATAGATATATATGTAAAGCTAATTAATACCAACTATTTATATACAAAAAATGAAATAGTTCAATATTAATCTACCTATTTACATATCTTACAGCTACATTTGTCTTTATTCTAGGCATTTATGCCTCTTTTAAATTTGGCTACGTTTCCCACATTTTTTATCGTATCAGGCAAGGTGTCCCAGAAAATGCTCCCCCGGAATGCCAATGAATTTATCCCAAATGATAACGTTTGGTAGGCGAAAGTTGCAGCGTATTTTTCATTCCTAAATTATAAGTCAATTCTCTCTGTACGTAAAACTCTCTCATGAATGAAGGACTCTCATAATTTAATGATTTGTATATCTCTGTCATTCAAAGGTGGATTTATAATCACAAAACAGCTCGCGTACTGCACGTTTATTAGCTCGATTTATCTCCTTATTACATTGCTTTCCACATAAAATCCAAATGAGAGGATAATAGTTGAAATTTGATAACAGAAAGGAATTGTATAGTAATTTTGCCTTGCCTATGCCTATATCTAGGGAGTTAGCCGCCCTAGAAAATGCTTTCACAATTTGTTTCATTTTATGACATAGGGTTTTGATATGCTGGTCAAATTTAATGCCAGCATCGATTGTGACGCATAGAAGTTTAACGCTGTCTGATAAGTATAAGGTATTTCCATTTATTTCAATAAAAATTTCTTTGTATCAGTTTTGGTTCCAAGGACCATCATCTGGAACCTAGGTTGATTAGCTACCATGCTGTTCGATTCGAACCATTTTAGAGCTTGACATAGATCTTCTTCTATGCCAACAAAGATTTCATCCAAATCACTACCACAAGAGAAAATGTTTATTGTTAAACAACTAATGTTAAATTGTCTTCAATTTACTTTCCGGTCCGTGTTGTTTGACCATACAACTGTATGATTCAAATTCGAAACTGGTGAAATTATTTTGAAGAATTTTCGCTCTGAAATTTTAATGTACTCTGATATAAGGTTTTAAACAGGCTCTTGCTTTGACACTATCAATTTCGTGCTTCGTTTTTGTGTGAGTCAAAAACGATATTGAAGTTTTGAAAGAATAATATTTCCACGGCATCGAATATCTTTCTATATCTGTCTATAAATTCTATATCCCAATAGATGTTTATTTAATTTGAGCGTCATCTTTTTTGTGTGTGTTTCATCATTTAAGCTTTTCTTTGCCTTTCTCTGCAAAAATTTTCCTTAATTTTTTGTCCATTGAAGTAAAATGTTGGAAATGCACAAATGTTTCTCTAGAATGGCACAAAAAAGGATTAGCACTGTACATTTTGTGCCCTACCTTTACCACAATGTCTCAATGACAGCTCTAAATTCTCGTACTCCTCCTTAGCGACGGAGTCGATGATGAAATAGAATTTACCAATGTAAGCGAAGTTTGATTGAAATTCTATGACCCATCGACACGGAGTGAAGGAGGTGTACGCCCAGCCCGCCTTTTTTCTTTGCATACCCGCCCAAGTTCATTCGAACATTTTTTCATTTTGTCATTGATCCATGGCTGCTCTAAAGACTGGTTTGCATGAACTACCGAGCTCTCTCTCGTACACCTCCTTCACTCCGTGTCGATGAATCATAGAATTTCAATCATTTCAATCAAAACTCGTTTGAATGGTAAATTAAATGCCTAGTGTATTCCAGCCTTAAGACATTGAAGCGTCCATTTTGTTGCGTCAATTAAAGACATTGAAGCTGTCATTAAAGTTGCCATTAAAGCGGCCATTCTGTTCCTATGGTTTCAACCCTATTTCTATACAAAGTTAACCTGATTTTAACGTGGGTGAATCACTATTTCTATACAAAGCTTGACCTGATTTTATCGTGCGTGGCAGGCATTCCTTCATCTGGATTGAGGCGGATTCACGTTTTTCTGCCTTACCTGATTTTATTAAAAATTGGAGAGTTCAAAATCGGTTCTAAATCCAATCTGAGATCAGGTAAGTGTTTTCTTTTAATTTCGCATATTGTTCCGATCTTTACAAGTATAACTTAAAGATAGCAAAACCTAGAACAAATGGCAACAGTTTTTTTTTTCACGAAGTTCATACCTCAAGCAATGCTTTATAGTCAATCGGTGGTATCTTTAGCACTAGTTTAGAAACTTGGTGTTCGCGAAATATGTATTTAAATAATGTGTAAATTGTGCAAAAGTTTAATTTTTTGAAACATTCTTCTTTCTACTATTGGCTGTTAAGGATAGAACCAGACTTGGGTTTATTCGACACTTATCGTTAACACTCCTAAGTGTCCAATAGGCAATTCTCAGTGTCCTTATAAATGCTATGTACTTCCACTTCGTCTAATCCACTAGGCGGATAGTGTTGTATAAGTAAAAGGAAATTGATTCCTACTTTATAGGAATATCATTAAATAATATTGGAAAGCTGCCAAAATTATATCAAATCATCTAATTATATTTTGATGATACCTACAAATATATGTTAAAATCATTTGCACAAAATTTCACATTTTGACAAATTTTGTCTTTATTTTTTTCTAACAGATGCTAACATGCAGTTGTTACACGTCGCATTGCTAATAGCAACCGTTTTCATTGCACTTGTGACCATTTTGCAAAATTCAAAGAAAATGCAGATGAAAAGTCAACCGATCTTTAGAGGAATTTTTCCGTCAGGGAACCCTTGGAATGGCGTCCCTGAGTTTGTGCTATACTTGAGATTAACTTCTAGTCCGCGTTGGGAGCAAGAATATAGAAATAATTTGGTTCGCACTATGAAGCTTTTCTTTCCACCTGAACGAGCGAAACTTGTAGTTGTATTGGACAACGAAAAGAAAGAAGACCATTTGTTTGGAGACAAAATAAAAACGGAATGGCCATATCCACAAATATGCTACAGAGATCCAAGTTCCATTGATGCATACCGCGGATGGGGCAAGGCCAGAATGTTTTGGGACATGATGTATCCCGATAAATGTACCAATGTATCTTATGTGGGGTATGTCGATACTGATACATTTTTTAGCACCTTAGTAACACCACAGTTGCTATTTGACAATGGAAAACCAATTATTATTGCAAAAATTGGCCAGGTTCCGTACCAATGTTGGGCTGAAACAACAGAGTTGTTTCTCGGCAAAAAAGAAGTTATGCAATGCATGTCAACTTTCCCTGTTATGATAAAAACGGAGCATATGATAGAAATGAGAGAGGTCCTTGCAAGAAATCACAGCATGGATTTTGATTCAGTTTTTAAAAACACTCCACGTCAAATGCATTGTCTTTGTCAGTTTAGTATCATGTGCAATTATGTTTGGTACTATCACAGAAATGAGTACTCGTGGCGCTTGCAGATGGTCCCAAATGGTGACTGGAGAGGAGAACATTTGCTTGCTAGTCAAGTGTCACTAGATTATTATCGGACTAACGTACCCCCAGAGATGACGATACCAATGCCGCGCTCATCAATTCACCTGAGGTACACAATAACAAATGGTCAGTCCTATCTGTCAGAAGTCCCTCCAAAGGAATATATCGAAGATTTTATTAAAGAAGGACTTTGTTACTCAGCTGGATTTGATGTCTGTCCGGAAAGTTGCAAAAAATGGAACCAGGCAAAGATACATTACAATCTTTATTCGTTTGAATTCTATCAATGGTTTTGGGACAAAAGGTGCATGGAAGAGCAAGAAAAGCATTACAGAAACGTCAAAGAGCTAGTTCGCTACTATGTTTTTTCAAAGATGGAAGTTTTTGGACTTTCTTCTCTAGATCAACTATGTACCATATTATGAAAATATTTATTTTTTTTCCATTTTATGGCAACAAATTTTGCGTTTCTTCTTCTTAGTCGCTGTTGAGATCTCTTAAGTTTGCTATAAATTTATCATAGATGAAATGTGCAGTAGCTGAGTGTTTTGCAATGATTCAGCACAACGAAATTATAGAAACTGTAGCGGGGTTCATTTTAACGTGCAGTGGTAGCCAATTTGGGCATTGATAAATCGTAAATGTACATTGATACACAATCGTAAATTTTTTGCAGTGAAAAACCAAAAACAAAAGACATTTAGTAGTATTTAGTTAGTAAAAGGTAAAATTGCAGCAACTACCAGTAAAGAACACATAAAGATTATAATAGGGCATCACAATAATAAAAAGGAGAACATAACAGTAACAATGATCTATGAAATCTCTGTAAAATGTTATCGAATTCAGTATCTAGAAGCTATCTAGTTTGTTTTTTTCATCTTCTTCTTTGTGATGTTTGTGCTCAAAAATTCTTTTAAATCTAGACCACTTTTCCTCGTTGAAATCTCTTGTGAAGCTAGAATGAAAGGTGGTGTAGTTCGAGAAATTTACATACAGTTAGTTCGATAGGTGCGGTCATAAACAATTTTCAAAGGCAACACCAAAATTTTCAAAAATTTTGAAAATGTGCAGTGTTAAAAATTTCTTAAAATTCCTTAAAATTCCTATCCAAATAGATATATAATGTAATGTTATTTTGTCGGAAAAGCAAGTAGATTTTAACTCAACTTGGAAGCAAAATTATGAAGTACATTATTATAGAAAACCAAATATTTGAGGGTATGTCAACCATTGTGAATTCTTGGTTATATAGAATCACAAGAAACCAAACTCAGCTATATAGAATCTTAAAAAACAAAATTGTGTTTGTGGAGTGAAATTTACTAGCGATGTAATATATATTGTTTATCAAACTTTAATATCGTCTGACTTTTCGAAGTATGTCAATTAGACGGACAAAACTGATGACGATAAAGAAATGTAAAAATAGCAATTGCACAACAATAATAATAAAAATAATAATAATAATAATAATAATAATAATAATAATAATAGGAAATTAATGACAATGAGTAAAGAACTTCATCCTAGAAGCGATGTAGCAAGAATTTATGTTAGCAGGAAAAAGGGTGGTAGGGGGCTGATAAGTTGTGAGTATTGTATTGAAAATGAGACAAACAACCTACCTTGGTATGTGAAGCATGCTAGAGGCAATATTATGTCAAAAGTGAGAGACCTTGGGGCAATGAATACTGAGGAGGCAGTAGCACCGAATGAACATAAGAATGAGACAAAAAGGCGCTTGGAGAAACGATGGAAAGATAAGCCGATGTATGGGCAATTTACTAAGAATACTGACGGAATTGATTGGGAAAAAAGCTGGACATGGTTAAGGAACGGAGATCTGAAAGGGTGCACTGAAGCATTAGTGTGTAGTGCACAGGAGCAGGCGCTGCGCACTAATTATACCAAGCACTACATTGATAAAACAAGTGATACGCCTTTATGTAGAATGTGCCGTGACAAGGGAGAAACAGTAAGTCATCTGGTGAGCGAATGTGCTAAACTGGCACAGACAGAATATAAAAGACGACACGACAATGTGGCAAGGTATATTCATTGGTTGTTAGCGGAAAAGTGCGGATTTGAAAGAGCCACAAAATGGTATGAACAGAAACCTGAAGGAGTTTTAGAGAATCACAAGTTTAAGCTACTGTGGGATTTTATGATTCAATGTGATAGGGTTGTTGAAGCAAGAAGGCCGGACATTGTTGTTGTTGACAAGAAAAAAAGCATGTGAAGATAATCGATGTTGCCATTCCTGGTGATAATAGGGTAAAAGGTAAAGAACAAGAAAAAATTGAGAAATATCAACCATTAAAGGAGCAAATCGGAAATCTGTGGAATATGAAGAAGGTGACAGTCATCCCTGTTGTGATTGGGGCATTAGGATGTATATCATATTGTTTTGAAGAGCACATGGAAAAGATCGGAATTGATGTAAAGTTACAGGTGATACAAAAGACAGCACTGCTAGGAACAGCCAGGATTTTGAGACAGACATTGTCTATGTAAACTTGAGATGACAGAATGGGACCTTTGTCAGCTTGTTGCTGATTGCTCCCTCCTATATTATCCGGACCAATTAACACCTAGGTGTCTGTGAATAACTTAATTAGCCATAATAATAATAATAATAATGATATCTTTATTTACAGTTGGTTTGAGCGATAGTTAATATACATAGATATATATGTAAAGCTAATTAATACCAACTATTTATATACAAAAAATGAAATAGTTCAATATTAATCTACCTATTTACATATCTTACAGCTACATTTGTCTTTATTCTAGGCATTTATGCCTCTTTTAAATTTGGCTACGTTTCCCACATTTTTTATCGTATCAGGCAAGGTGTCCCAGAAAATGCTCCCCCGGAATGCCAATGAATTTATCCCAAATGATAACGTTTGGGTTTTGGTGCGAAGTTGCAGCGTATTTTTCATTCCTTAAATTATAAGTCAATTCTCTCTGTACGTAAAACCTCTCCAAGAATGAAGGACTCGCATTAATTTAATGATTTGTTATATCTCTGTCATGCAAAGGTATGTGATTATAAAGTCCAAACAAAACAGCTCGCGTAATCGCACGTTTATTAGCTCGATATTTCACTTATTACATTGCGCTTCCACATAAAATCCAAATGAGGGATAATATGAAAATTGGATAACAGAAAGAATTGTATATAGTCAATTTGCC